GTGAGGCTGTAAGGGCTCGGGTGGGACCCTCATCTTTTGCCTCTGGGCACCCGTTCCTCTTGGGGGGGAAGATGCACTAGAGCATGGCTCCTTGGCATTAGAATCCTTGGGGAGCTTTGCAAAGAATATTTTTCTCCTCACATGCGTATTTACTATTTTCCCTCCTCCAAGAGGTTTCAGAACCAGCTATTATAGCCAGCAATGTTCCTTTATATCTTTTTAAATTTTTTTATTTTACTGTGGTAAGAACACATTGCATGAGATCCACCCTCTTAAAGGTTCACGTATACAATACATTCTTGTCGACTGTAGGTACAGTGTTGTACAGCAGGTCTCTAGGACGTATTCATTTTGCTTAACTGAAACCTTATGCCCGTTGATTAATAACTCCTCATTTCCCCTCTCCCCAGCCCCTGGCAACCACCATTCCACTCTTTGATTCTATGAATTTGAGTACTCTAGGCACTTCACATAAGTGGAATCATGCAGGATTTGTCCTTCTGTGACTGGCTTATTTCACTCAGCATAATGTCCTCAAGGTTCATCCATGTTGTCGCATATTGCCGAATTTCCTTCTTTTTCAAAGCTGAATGGTATTCCTGTGTGTGTGTGTGTGTGTGTGTGTGTGTGTGTGTGTGTGTGAGTATCATATTTTCTCTATTCATTTATCTGTTGAACCACATTTAGGTTGTTTCCACATATTGTGAATAGTGCTGCAATAAACATGAGAATTCTAATGTCTCTTTGAATCCTGATTTCAATGATTTTGGATAAATACCCAGAAGTGGAATTGCTGGATCATATCGTAGTTCTATTTTTAATTTTTTGAGGAACCTCCATACTGTTTTCCGTAGCGGCTGCCTCAATTTACATTCCCACTGACGGTGCACAAAGCTTCCAATTTCTCCACACCCTCGCCAGCACTTGTTGCTTTTTACCTTTTTCTTTTTTTTTTTTTTTTGGTGATACCCATCTGGACAGACGTGACATTTTGTTCTGAGAAAAGTAGCCTCTCCCCATAGGTTACTTTTTTCAGGCTACAAGTGTTTGAAAGGGGAACTTTATGATCAGAAAGCATTTGTAAAAGGACTTACATCACTTACTCAGAACAAAGTGTTTTGAATTTTGTTAAAATAAGATTTTTGAACAGATTTAAACAGATTTCATTCTAGGAGTAATCAAGCATCTCGTCTAAGACAGCCCCTCCATCTCTCAGCCTCAGTCATTTGCTCATTAAACTAATTTTGTCTGCCCAGTTGCAGGGCATGGTGACTAGAAGCAGTGGAAGAACCTTCTTGGAGCTTGCCTAGTTGTGGGGTTTAAACATAGAGACTTAGACCCAGTTTTGCCCATATGAGATCAACTGCCAAACCACTTCAAACAGTCTGATAGTTCAGTGGGGAAATGAGATCAGAATTTGTATCGAGAAATCAATACCTCCCCATATATAACCAACCACCAGTCAGAGGATATGATGGAAGAGAAAGTCTGATTTAAAATATCAACAAAACAGATAAAATATCTGGGAACAAATATCACAGGAAACGTGCAAAACCTCCATGAGGAAAACTTGGAAACCTTCCCAGAGGACATGAAACTGGAAAGACATGCCATGTTCTTGGATAGGAAGACTCAACATCATAAAGATGTCAATTCTTTTGAAGGTAGTTTATAAATTTAACATGATCCAAATAAAAACACCCAGAGGCGTTTTTTTTCTGGAACTAGACAAGCTGATTCTAAAGTTTACATTGAAAACATAAACAAGCAAGAAGAGCCAGGAGAACTGGAGAGGGAGAGCCACGGGGGAGGAAGGGCCCATCTGATATCCAAACCTCTGTAAAACCTCAGAAATTAGCCCAGTGTGCCTAGCATGGGCCCATGGACAGAGAGACAGACAGACAGAGCAACAGAACAGAAAACCCAGACACAGGACCCCACCATGTAGAAATTCAGTGTATAAAGTGCATTCTCTCAAATCTAAGAGCTGACAGTGGACCTTTTAATAAATACTATCTGGGGGCCAGCCCTGTGGCTTAGTGGTTAAGTCTGATGCACTCTGCTTCGGTGGCCTGGGTTCGTGGGTTCAGATTCTGGGCACAGACCTACACCATTCATCAAGCTGTGCTGTGGCAGTGACCCACATACAAAATAGAGGAAGACTGGCACAGCTGTTAGCTCCAGGCTAATCTTCCTCAAGGAAAAAGAGGAAGATTGGCAACGGATGTATGCTCAGGGCTAATCTTCCTCAGCAAAAAAATAAAATAAATAAATACTATCTGGACAACTGGGTAGCCATGGATGAGAGAGATGGATCTAACCTCACACCGGTCACCAGGATAGCCTTCAAATGGATCAAAGATTTAAACAAAAAAAAAATGAAAATATGGATGAATTATTTTGCCCTCAATAAGAGTCGTGGGTGGGTACAGGGCTGGCCAGAGGTGGGCTGAACTCAGAATGAATTACCAGCTGTGGGAGCTAGCACTGATTAACCCACATTATCCTGTGCAATCCTCAGATAGTTTCTTTTATCAACCTAAATTTCTTGACCTGAGGCTTGGAAAGGTAACTTGTTTAAGAATGGTTACCTACCCAGTTACTCCCAAAGCATAGGAGGTGACCTATCCAAGGCCACCCCAGAGTCTGGGGTCCTAACCTTTGCTCTACTGCTCCTGGCTGCAGATATGATTGACTACCACCGCAACGTGGTTATTGAAGCTGGGCGCCGGGCTGGGTGGAGGCAGGATGGTGGGGCCACAGGACAGGTCAAGGAGTGGCCCTGTCTTCGGGGAGTAGCTCCTCAGTTGGGCAAACAGACATATAAAATGGAGGAGGAGGCAGGCATTTGGGGTTTTGAGACTGTGATGGAGTGAGAGAGTTCACTGGGACCTGGTCAGGAAAGATTTCTCAGAGGATATGGAGTGTGGAAAGTCAGTTCTCATGTCAGCTTGGGGATAAGTTGACAGGAAGAGAGACAGAGAGACCTTGGCCTGGGATCAGAGAGAAAGGTGGATGCTGGCTAAAGCCAGGGACACTCAGAAGGGACTTAGGGGGCCAAGGAGTTGGAGAATTGGACCAGGCTCAGACTGTAAAAGGCCTTGAATGCCAAGATCACACAATCAGTATTGGTCCCATTACCCTTAACAGTTTGAAAAACAGCTACATAGCAATCACGTTGGATTCTCAGCCAACCTGGTGACACTGGCTTGTTTTTTAAATCAATGAACAAAGGGATCAGAGAGAGGTTAAGGGCCCTGCCTGAGGCCACACAGCTGGGAGTAAAGCCCTGGGTCTCGCGACTCCAATCTTGCACTCTCTCCTGTATCGCGCCACTCGGAGGGTCAGGAGCCTGCACTTTGTCCTCTCAACAACGTGGCAGCCGGGGAAGGCTTCTCAGCAGAAGAGGGAAAGCGTGAGAGGGCAGTTGGGCGACAATTTGGATCGGCCGGGGGAAGAGACAGGGTGGAAGACGAGGATGGCCACAGGAGGCGTTTTCTGGCAGCCGTGTCCCTGGACACACAGCTGCCCCGCACTGTGAGGCCCTGGTTTGCCTCCTGCCTCTCGGACCTCTTCTGCGTCTCCTTTGCTGCTTTCTTCTCTTCCCTTGTCCAGTCCTCAGGGCCTGGCCTTCCTCTGGGCTCAGCCCCCTGTTCTGCCCTCTTTCCTCACGGAGAGTGGCGAGTGTGAGGTCTCACCCAGGGCTGGGGCTTCAGGGCCACCTCCATGCCCACAACCCTGATCCCAGGTCCGCTGCTCAGATTTGTCTCCTGAGCTACAGGTGAACACATTCTGCTGCTTCTAGCTATCTGTCCACAGGCATCTCAAATCAACCCGTCCAGCCCTTCTCCCCACCCCACCCTACCCCCTCCTCCAGAGCTCCCTATCTCAATCAACACCACTGGTCCCCCATTGCTCAAGCAAGGACCCTAAGGGTCATCGCTACCCCTCCTCGTCCTTTACCTCCCATGTCTTGCCAACCCCTCCTCCTAAACATGACTCAAACCAACCAGCTTCTCTTCGCTCTTCCTGCTGCCCCTCTCTCACCAGGACAACTGCCATGATCTGTTACATTGCCCCCTTTCTCTACGGTTCTCTGCTTAAAATCCTTCAAGTTATGTCCTCATAAAACCTTGCACATGAATGTTCATAGCAGAACTATTCATACCAGCCAGAGTGGTGACAACCCAAACGTCCATCAACTGATGAATGAATAAACAAAATGTGGTCTAGCCATACCATAGAATATTATTCAGCCATAACAAGGAATGAAGTACCGATACATGACACCACATGGATGAACCTTGAATACATTATGCTGAGCAAAAGAAGCCAGACACAAAAGGTCACATATCGTATGATCCTATTTATATGAAACGTCCAGAATAGGCAAATCCACAGAGACAGAAAGTAAGATTGGTGGTTGCCAGGGGCTGGGAGGGGTTGGGGGAAAATGAGAAGTGACTGATAACAGATACATGGTTTCTTTTCAGGGTGATGAAAATGTGCCAAAATTGATTGCATAATCCTGTGAATAATACTAAAAACCATTGAACAGAATACTTTATTTTTTAAATTATTATTATTGTTTTTTTTTTTTTTATTTTTTGTGAGGAAGATCAGCCTTGAGCTAACATCCATGCTAATCCTCCTCTTTGGTTTTTTTGCTGAGGAAGACAGGCTCTGAGCTAACATCTATTGCCAATTCTCCTCCTTTCCCCCCCCCCCCAAAGCCCCAGTAGATAGTTGTACGTCATAGTTGCACATCTTCTAGTTGCTGTATGTGGGATGTGGCCTCAGCATGGCCGGAGAGTGGTGGATTGGTGTGCGCCCGGGATCCGAACCTGGGCCGCCAGTAGCGGAGCGCGTGCACTTAACCGATAAGCCACGGGGCCGGCCCTGAATAGTATACTTTAAATGGGTGACTTGTGTAAGTGAATTGTATCTCAATAAAGCTATCCTTAAAAAAACCCCAAAACCCCAAACTCTCTGGGCTCCCCCCTTTCAGCTCCTTCCTGTGGCTTACACGGCCCTGCTTCATCTGGCCTCTGCCCTGTGCCAAGTTCTCCTTGAGCCCTGGTCTCCCTCCCTCTCTACACTGAGCCCTTTCTGGAACTTGCAGTGCCGTCCTGCCTGAGGCCTTCTTGCCTGGAATACATTCCTTCCTCTCCACAGAGCAGTCATCCTATTCAGAACTCAGCGCTCTGTTTATGCATAACTGTCTGGTCTTCTCTGACTTCTAGACAGGTGGGAGCCACTGCTGAATGTCCCCCAAACTCATACGCTCCCCTTAATCATGCCACTCCTCTCACTGAGTCATTATTTGGCTGCCTTGCACCGCAGACGGTAAGTTTGGGAATGCTGGCACCATCGGCCTTGTTCGTAGGAGCATGTGGGACATACTATTCTTATATCAGATGATGAGTACTATGGACACAGAAGATGTTTCAGTCACTCTTCTAGGTGTGAAGGATGCAACAGTGATGGAGTTCCTGCCCTGAGGAGCTTACAGCTGGGTGGGGGAGATGGGCAGGAAGAATGTACACACTCAGTGGAAACCCATGAGGTAGTGATAACGGCTATAAAGAAAAAGAGCGCAGTAAGGGATAGAAAGTGCAGGAGGGGAGGTGATTACTAATTACATTCAGGGAGGGCTTCTCAGAGTGAGGACTCATATTTGAGCAGAGGCCTGAATGAACCACATGATGATCTCAACAAACACTTGCCCAGTGAGTGAACGAGGACACAGGATCGACATTCAGAATAATAAGAGAAAAATGGGCAGAACTGGCCCTCCTGAGCAGCGAGGCCTGGGGAGTGGGGCTTGGCCCCAGTGCATTGGCCAAGTCTGCTCGAGGATGTATGGATGGTGGTCTCATGTCAGCTTCGACTTTGCTGTCATGGCTGCTTCCTTATATTTAGATCACGATGAGCAATTCTGCTTCCTCCCTCCAAACTTAGCATTTTCAGCTGGGCCTTTCAAGTTCCTCCCTTCTTCACTATTCTCCAAGGTGTCCCCTGGATAGTCAGGGTAGGTTAATGCTTGGTAACAAAGAGCCCCTAATGTCAGAGGCACAGTGCATCAGACATTTCTCACTCAAGTCAGGGGTAGCTGGTGAGCTGGTGGAATCCTCTGCTGGCTCTCCTGCATCCAGCAGGTGGCAGGGGAAGAAAATGGAGGACCACCTGGCCAGCTGAGCCTAGACTTGGTCCATATCACTCACATTCCAGGACTCTGTCACATAGCCACACCGAGCCGTAAGGAGGCTGACACATAGTTCAGCTGACTGGCCAGAAGGAATGAGAACCATGCTGGGCTCTGCAGCAGCTCCTTATACCCCAAGCCACCATGACCTCAACAGCCTCTTCCAGGCTATCCTGATTTGTTCTGTGCACCATTGCGAGTCAGGTCTTCCTGAAACTCATCTTTCATCATGCCCCTCATCCACAAGACCTATGCAACCCTTCTGTGTCAGCAGGGAGAGCGGGCATTGTTCAGCCCTCTGTTCGAAGGCCCACAAACCCACCTGGACTCTTTCCTCATTGCAGGAGGCTCCTAGGCCCTACACACCTCTACTAACACTGCACCACCTGCCACGTGGGTCTACTTGTCATATTCAAAACAATCTCACCCAAGGCTTGCTTGAAGTCCCACCTGCCTCTTGCCCCCGACTGTGTGCTGTCCATACTTCCTCTCTGAAATTCTCTCATCCGTTGGCTTGCACACCAATACAAAATCACTACCAAGGAATGCATCAAGTACAGGAGAAGACTGAAGTGGGGTAATTCCAGTTTCAGGATGACTCAGAATGCCTGCAGTGCAGGAGTGGAAAGGGACAGCTGAAGGTCTGGGGGAGAATATAAACGGGCTCCCCTCAGCCCCTATCTAGATGGGGGAGAGGGGCCTCCAGTTCTCAGGGTGGGAAGAGAACACCACACACCCCAGAACGAAGTTCAGCATGTAAACCGCTCCCAGGAGTGCTCCGCCAGCCCAAGACGGGGTAGATAGAAAAGGGAGTGCTCCATGCCCTCTGATTCCCTAGCACAGGACAGGATTAGGGGAGGAGCTCGAACAGGGGCCAGTCCTTCACCCTTCACGCTTCAGACGTGAGGGCACTTACACAAGGTCATGGCACTCATGACGGAAGTTACTTTAGAGGGAGGCAGGCCCTGCTAAAGTGACCGCAGACTCAGAGGATAGCTGCAACAACCGTGCTTTCTCAACCCTAATTCTGGGCACATCTGACAAGGGGACGGAATATTAAAAAATTAGACTGTCCTTGGAGACCCAAGACCAGTGCTGCTCGTCAGATGGGCCAGAATCAGATCTTGCAAGAGTCTCAGTAATATCTTTTTGGGCAGGATACAGTCTACCTTTTAAATGATTTAAATATCAGTTTTAAATGTTTTAAAAGTAGTGTTTGGAATGCTTTGAGTAGCAAGTGGGTTAATCGACACCACCATATAGTATTTATGTACCAGTGCTGACGGTACACAGAACGGCACTCTTATTTCCTTAACAGTGATGAATAACCTAAGATATAGTGGTAATTAAGGATTTTAACGCTAGCCATCTTGGTAGTGAGCCCATGACTCATTTGCCTTGGGGCTCCGGCTGGAGTGAAGGGCCTATAACCCCCAGGCCCACGTTTAAGAAGCCCCCAAATGAACACACACTCCAGGAGTGTGTCCGATTTCCTTGTTCTTCAGTGTGAAATATGGCTCAGATCTGGAGAATGTGCATTACATTTAATAAAGTATCTCAGGAGTTAGAAGCATTTCCAAGGTGCATAAATACAATTCCACTTCCATTTTTCCTAGTTATCCAGGCACTTTGGTAAAGCAATACGTTCTGACTTGAGGGTCACCTACTGTGAGTAGGTAAAGGGGACAAGTGTCAAGGACAGGCAGACCTTGTGCCCATCGCCTCCTTCTGCCATGCCACGAAGGCAGCCCTGGTGCTGCAGAGACTGTCTCGGAGCACTTGGTGGGAGGCACCACCACTGACCCCTCCACAATCGTTTGAAGACGAGCCTGTTACAACAAACTCCCAGGTCACTAAGTATGAAGAACGTCAGCCCAGGAGCGCGCACACCCAAGCTCCAGCTGCAAGGCCACTCCGAAGAGTGGGCACAGTAAGAGGAAGCCCCAAGGCCACTCACCCACCTGTAGCTTTTAGTCATCAATCGCAGCTGACCTGTTCCATGGCTGAGTCTTCCCAAAGGTGCTCCCACCCAGAGGCCTTCCCACGAATTACAGATCCATGGTGGGAGAAGGTACAATCACCAAGAAACCTGTGACCAAATTGTGCAAAAGCAGTGATTTTCCCAGTAATTCTGAGGCTGTGAGTCAAACAGAGCAAAAAGCCTCAATGAAACTGACAGTCACTGCCTTAAGTTTTCGCTTAAATGGCCCCATTTGGAAACTTCTGCTCAGCTTTGGAGTAGCTGGCCTAGGTGGACCATGAGAGCAGCAGCCCCCAGCAGGACAGTGCCGGCTCAAGTTCCTTCTCAGACCCCGACACTTCTGAGAAAGGAGAGTTGCAATCCTCCACCCAAGCAGGGCAGCCACAAACGAGGTCGTAGGCTGAGCTCTATTTAAGAACTAAACCAGGAACACAAGTGAAATTCCTTGGGTTTAGCCTCTTTTCTGTTCCTTCTCTATAAACAAACCTTATTTGGTCTTCTGTAGCCCGTGCCGTGTGTGCTTAAACAGGCCTTGTCTCACGCTAAAAGTGGCCTGCTGAGTGGACAAGCGTGCTTTAGCTACTTATACTTAGCACGTCGAGACTGCTTGCACAGATCATTCTGTCCTTCTTTCCTTAAGGGAGGGGGGTGAGAAGGGACAACAGCCAAGCAAGCTGTGCTCTTTGTCCTCACAAAGCTCTGGGTCTAGACCCGAGTTTCCAAAGTGTGGTCTATGGTTTCTGTCAGAAACACCAGGCCCGCCTGTTGGTGCCCTCAACCACAATCTTGGAGTAACTGAGGGTGGAGTCTGGGAATCTGCGTGGTGAACAAGCACCCCAGAGATTGTGACAACAGCCAAGCAGGGGCATCACTCCTCCAAGGGCCCAGCGAGACCCACATGCTCCCCAAGGAGCTGGATGAGTTGAAATAAGGACACAAGAGTTCTGACTCTCTGGCCTAACACCTGACATGGTTTTTATTTTAAGTAAGGCGAGGAGGGGGAAAAAAAAAGATACAGAGTGAAGAATTCATTGTATGTTTATTATTCACAGTTAATCACTACCTACCAAATGCTATCCGCAGAGTTAAAGGATTAAGTACATAGGTCTTTTTATTTAAACACTGATTTTCTTTTTAAATATATACACACAAAACTTAGTTCAGCAAGGCTTCATGATATACACCAACTCCAAAATAAAACAATCAAATGGTCCACATGTAGAATGCCAGCGATTCCTTTTATCATCAGCGAGGAAAAGAGAAGCTATCAGAGAGGGAGCGAGGAGTGGAATGCTCCGTCCAGAAAAGCAGCCGCCTCCTGGGCCTCCGAGTGCTCCAGGCCGAGTCCGTCTCCATAACCAGAGTCCAGGGGAGACTCCAACTGACTGCTTCAGAACCCAAAGGCAGTGACCAACTCCTGGCAGCCCCGTTTTTGCTGCAGGAAGGGGACTGGGTGGAGAAAGTTCACAGGCACCTCACTACGAGGGACAAGCAGCTGACAGGAGACAGACAGAGAGAGCTCTGCGACGGACTCGGCTTTCCTATATTTCCAATCTTTCCTTCTCAACTGTCCCTGCTTCTCGGAGACATTTTCTTTGTAGGGGGTAGGGGGAGCAGCTATAAACACAGCCTGCTGTGAATGGAGACATGAAAGCCACGCAGCTGCTGCTTGAACAGTGCCCTGAGGCTCACCTGGGCAGGTCGGGTAGGGATACAAAAGGTGAAAGCCATGAAGAGACACCCCGCGGTTTCAGAGCAAGAAAAATGAAGTGAAAACTCTCACTTTCTACCCCAGTGTAGGAATCCGGTATAACCTGATACAGATAAGGAGCGACAGTTTGAACAGCTTGGGCTCTCCCATGTTTGCAACTTGCTGGCTGCAGGGATTTGCGTCTGGGGGTCCCCAGGGTTAAGAAGGGAGCAGACAACACCTGAGACTGCAAGGTCAGCCAAGGACTCGGGCCCCCTTTTGGCCAGATCCAGTGAGACGCGGGAAGAGCTATAACCACTCCTCCTTCCCCGAGCTGGTCACACTGCACCCAGGGCAGTAACTCCACACACCCGGGCTTTGGGCTCCCTTAAACTCCAGAGAGCTCACAAATAGTAAAGCTGAACCTTTACTTCTGGCTTGGATCAGGCAGAACGTCCACACCCTCCACTTCTACTTGTCTCCTCTTCTCTACCCTGTTTTCCCCTCCCCCTGAGGGGAAAAATATTTACACAGAGTAGGAGACAAATTGGCTGAAAAGCTCTGGACTGTCTTTAACTTATTTTAAAACAAAACAAATAAAAAACACCATTCAGAAGCAACCCTTGAAATAAGGAAAAAGGCACTATGAAAAAACAATGTGCTCAATACCATTTGGAGGGAAAACAATGTGGAAAAGAGCCGTAGGTTCTCAGCTTGTCTTTCTTAGGAAGCCCCGGGGGGCAACACTCCTTCCTTCCACTCCACTCTACTTCCACTTCGACAAAACACACCGGGGGTCAGGGGCTGGAAGGCAGATTCTACTGGCCCTCCCCTCCTCTGGCAGAAGCTAAACAGCACGGGCTTCACGCGCCCGCCCTCTCCTTTTTGTGTGTATATACGAAGATTACAGAAACGGCTGTTCTTCCAGTCATTCCGACTAAAACAGACATTTTGCATAGAGAAAATACCAGCCCACTTGGTTTCTTTTCTTTTATTATTGGCATCAGCTAGGACTATATGTGGCATTAAACGTCATGCACTGATGAACAGAAGAGAAAAAGGATGAAAAAAAGGACAAAGGAGGAGAAATAGGAGCAGCAGTGAAAATTTGTCATAAAAACTCTCTTCTTAATTTATAGGTGAGTTTTGGCATTGTTATATCCGACTCCCCCGCCCACCCCCCAAAGTTCCAACCAATGTGAGAGGGTCACAGGTGACCCAGCCAGGTGTTCTGAGCTCCCTCACAGACTGCTGTTAGGGGCAGCTCGTGGGTTTAATTCTTTTGTACATGTTTTAAATTTTTCACTTTGTTTAAATAATCTCTTCTTGATTCTTAGACGTTCCGGTTCACGGGGGTGACATAGTTGCGGGGAAACATGCCGGTCTGCCCGTGGCAAGCCCCTTTCCACCAGTTGGGATCTGAGTTATCCATGACGTGGATAAAGTCTCCTCGACGGAATCCCAGCTCTCCATCCTCCTGGGGATCAAAGTCAAAGAGCGCTTGGACGTACGTCGGCTGCTGCAGAAGAGGGGCAGGGAAAAAACACATATACTGCATTTCTGATGGGGACCAGCAGCTGTGTAAGGGGGACTCTTTATGGGGGGAAACAGACGTATGCCAACTTGTTCACATTTCCTGAAATAACCTCCCATTTCTCCTCCCCTCTCCACTTATTCTTACAGATTCTAAGTTTACTTTAGGTGGGTATGGTATAATCTTTCACCAAAGCTCAAAAATTACTGGGGTCAATCTCACTCTGGTGGCCACTTATGCCATATTATTAAGCAGAGAGCAGCAAGCACTGCTTTAAGGGGAAAGAACTTCAGAAACAGCTATTGGGGTGTTTTTTTTTTTGGTGAGGAAGAGTGGCCCTGAGCTAACATCTGTTGCCAATCTTCCTCTCTTTGCTTGAGGAAGACAGTCCCTGAGCTAACATCTGTGCCAATCTTCCTCCACTTTGTATATGGGACACCTGCCACAGCATGGCTTGATGAGTGGTGTGTAGGTCTGCACCCAGGATCTGAACCCACAAACCCCTGGCTGCCAAAGCAGAGCATGTGAATTTAACCACTATGCCACTGGGCCAGCCCCAGCCATCCAAGTTTTGATTATAATCCCAGGATTTCAAAATGCTCTAGTTCCTATCACTTCATCACTTATAAAATCCTTAAGGTTTTATAAAGTCAAAAGGTCAAGAGCTTGACTCAAATGAGGTGGTGCTAATCCTAACATATGGCTAGGATTTAGGAAAAGGAATATAGGAATGAATGTGCACCCCACTCCCTCACGAGCATGATTTTCCTCACAATTTGGTTCCAGGGAAAGAATATTTGAGAGTGTGTTAAAGATCCTCTTCTTAAAGACACAGGTGGTAAACCAGCAATTCGCTGCCTCAGAGAAGCAGCCTCTGGAAAAGGCAAAATCTTTTTATTCCAAACTTCAAAGCTTTAATATGAATTAAGACTAACGTTTTGAATAATGAGCATAGAAGCCCCAGAAGGAATCCTTTGAAAGGCACCTGCTTACCTGAGGAGCTATTCTTAATTGCTAAAAATGATCCCAATCTCTCTCTTATGAGAATTACCTGTGGCACCTGTTCTATGTCCCGGAGGAATATCTGCTGGTTTCTGGAGACAGATGTAGATCTGTGATAATCTACCAGCTCATTCAAAGAATTGAACTTCACCACCCAAAGGAAATACTTTCCGGCTCCATCTCGGAGCACCTTGAAGTGCTGCACATCATTTCCAAACCTGGGAAAGGACAGAGAATACACATGAGAATAGGCTGGAGGGCGCTGTCCTGGCTCCCGGGATCATCTGCCCACTAAGGAGGAGTCTTGAGAGAACCTGTGTTCTGGGAACACTCCCCACAGCCTGAGGGGCCCAGGACTGTAGCACACCATGGTGCCCTGGCTGGAGAGTTAGGATAATCACTGAGTGACCGAGACCCTTCCACTGGCATTGATGATCACCAATGACAACATGACCTCTACATGCCCCGCGCTGTACCAAATGAAACAGAGCCTTATTTAAGGCAAGGAGTGTGACAACTTTTCAAGGAAAAATAACCTTATGTGATATGTTTTTAACTGAAGTATAACCGACATACAATATCTTATTAGTTTCAGGTGTACATTATAGTGATTCAATATTTATATACATTATGAAATGATCATAAGTCTAGTTACCACCTGTCACCATACAAAGTTATTACAATATTATTGACTATATTCCCAATGCTGTACATTACATCCCCATAACTTATTTATTTTATGACTGAAGTCTGTACCTCCTAATCCCCATTTAAAGACTACAAAAGGTCGGATAGGGAATAAGGTGAGAAGAGGAGGACTGGACATACTTTCAACAATTCTCCTGTAACTGGGAACAGTTTAAAGTCACATTTTCGGGGCTGGCCCAGTGGAGTAGCAATTAAGTGCACACACTCCACTGCGGTGGCCCGGGGTTTGGATCCTGGGCGCGCATCGACGCACTGCTTGTCAAGCCATGCTGTGGCGGCGTCCCATATAAAGTGGAGGAAGATGGGCACGGATATTAGCCCAGGGCCAGTCTTCCTCTGCAAAAAGAGGAGGCTTGGCAGATGTTAGCTCAGGGCTGATCTTCCTCACAAAAAGAAAAAAAAAAAAAGTCACATTTTCCATTCAGGGATGTTAGTTCTATTCATGGGAAAAAGGTTTCAGAACAAAAGAACATACTGAGACAATATATAAAAGAGGCCCAGGCACCAAAAGGTAAAAGCTCCCTTTTACACTGGCTGGCAAAAACAGCAAGAGCCTGATAAGTGGGAAGGGCCACTATCACAGAGCTGTCTGGCTAGTACATCAGCCCAACGAAGGCTCTGCCTGTCCTGCTCACTGCTGAGTCCTCAGTGTCCACACCATCCCACTCTACGAAGATTTGTTGAATGAATGAATGTCTCGTCCTCCCAGCAGTCTTAAAGCACAAAGAAACAAAACACTTCTTAAAAACAATCCAGCAGGTGGCAGCACTGAGCTTCAAGGAAGCCACTGAGTATGAGATGCCAAGTGTTGAGAAACAGTATTGCTACTTCAGGAGAGAAGAAAGGCAGAGGGGGAGAAAGCTTTATGAGGAAGGACATATTCAAATGACACTTCTGGCCCCAGAGAAGCCCAGTCCCACGTGCAATGCAGGTAGTTTCTGAAAGGGGTACAAGGTCCCCAACAGTGAGCTGTTAACTGCTGCAGTGTTTTCCATCACATACCCACAACATCGTGAAACTAGAGAAACATCTCGGAGACTATAGATTCTTGAACCTCTTTTGTGAAGGTGTTTGTGTTCTTAAAGGTGGTAACGACGTCTATCTCAAATTTTATTTCTAAAACAATAAATACATAAACTCTTTAAGGTTTTTATTTGATAGAACAGAATGGTTTGGGAGCATCCTGGCAGCTACTGCATGAGTGTGAGCAGTGATTAGTCAAGGTAATCAGACAAGATCTGTAACGGAACACTAACTCCCGCGGTGGATTTGGCCATCATCCAATGATTAATTGCTTGTATTCTCCATCCTACAGTGTTTGATTTATACTCGGGTCAGTATAACACATAAGGAAAACAGATGATGAAATACAAGTTAACGAGAAGCATCAAGATATATCCACCTCAAGATGCTCTTCACCAGATCCTCGTTTGCATGTGTTTAATCAAGCGCATCAAAAAGCCACTGCTTCTATGCATGTGAGAGTATGGGGGTATATGGGAAATCTCTGTACCTTCCACTCAATTTTGCTGTGAACCTAAAACTGCTCTAAAAAACTCTACTGAATAAAAAAGCCACTGTTAGAAAAGGAAAACTGATAATTAAACCCAGTTTGACTTTTTCATGTTGGGACAAAAACTAACTATACTGGAAACATACCTGTCAGGTATTGTAAATATCACCTAAAACCATCTCCCATATTTTCATTGAGAAAAATCACACAAAGATTCTAAATTTAAATCTACATTTCAAAAAAACCTACATTTTTGGTCCTAAAGTGAAACAAGATATTCAGTTGATTTTTGAAACTGAAAAATCTTTACATCATTCGTAAACAGCAAATAAATTCTTATAGCCTTCATTTAAAAATAATCAACGTAATCTATAACAAAAGTGATCTGAGTTTTTAACCTAATCACTTCTTTGTCATATAAATGATGAAGTGATTTGTATGACTCTTAGGAGAGGGGTTCCTGTGATAACATATTAACTAGAAAAGGACTGAGCCAAAACACATATGGAAATGACAATTTGATTCAAAATCCTTATGTCACAGATGGGGAGTGATTTACTTAGAATCCTCAAAGTTCCAATTTATATTCATGATTCCCAGGGTGGTAAAATACCCTGCCTTCCCCATTCCCTGCTTACCAGCTCCCCTCCACATTTAAATTTACCACTAGGGAAAGCAAAAAAGCCAAAAACCCTTGTGGTAACTTTCTAAAGTTAACGTGCGAGGCCTATGCCGGTGCGGGTAGATTTAAGCTAGATATCTGGTAAAGGCATGTGAAGGCAGCTGAAACGGCGATGCCTTTAAAGAGAGCTGCAGGAACCCCACAGAGGGCAAGGGTGGTCGATGAGTAAAGAGCAGTGTGGAGAACACTACAGAGGGGTGGGGATTAGGGAAAACTGGCAAGCACATGCTGCCTGAAGAGCAGCTGCTGCTCAGCAACTAAGGACTGTTTCCACATGGGAATATGAACCCAGTGCTGCTAGACTGATTTTTAAAAGGAGCCAGAAATTAGAATTTTAATGTAAAATTTTCTGATTTGTAAAATACTGTTTAGGCTAAACCTCTACCAGTCTGCAACCACTGGTGTGTGTAGCCAGACACCTGGCCTATGGCTTAACAACTTAGACCAGTTGGAGACATAATTCCAGGCAACCAAAGCAGGAAATACTTACTTGACAGAGAGGGAGAAATCCCCAGGAGCACTCTCACTCTCTCGGATAAGAAAGGCCCCATCATGCCGCTGTTTGCTAAGCATTTCTTCTGCCTTGGCTCTGGGGATTTTGCCAAAAAACCACCTAAGGAAGGAAGGCAAGCCAGTCAACATCTGCTTCCCCACAAAGAAACGGGATATCCAGCCTCTGAAATGTGAGTAACAGAACACTCCCTGCCAGAGGAAGGGGCCTCCCTCTTTACCCTCCAGTCTCAACATGCCCAATTACGCCGTTCGGTCAGGTCCTCCCCTGAGAGATGGACCATCTCCCTTCAAACGACTTCGCCCTACCCCACTCTCCAGAAAGTGACTCATAAGGCACAATCACGGGCCACTCTTTCTATAGAGGAAGACACCTAAAAATGGGCCTCCCGGGCCAAAGCCCACTGGGCTCCCTACTGACTTACCAGCAAGGCACCGGGGAAAGCCCAGGCCTACCGATTTGAAGCACGGGAGACAGGCCCCTTCTTGCAGCCATTTGACAAGACTGCAGCTCTACTACAGTGGGATTAAGGGAAATGGGGGTAGGAAAGCTGCAAGGCCCAGAAGCTGGAGACAGCGCTGTTTCTTGTAACAGCCCACAGGGACAAGGGTCAGGCTGTGACAGAGCAGACTCCGCTAGTCACTAAGGTTGGCATTCCTCTCAAGGGCTCTCTCTGCTGTCATTGCTCCATTTACCTTTCATGCAACCATCAGGAACATCAAATTTACCCTATGCAGAGGCAGCTAGTTGCAAAATTCGATTGTTCATTTGGAGCAAGCTACAGATTCTTCTGTTCCCAATGCTAATTCACCTTGGCCACAAGAAAAAGTGGGTGAATTCACAGAAAACTGTGGGAGCAACTGACCTGTGGCTTGTACCAGGAGGAAGAGAGAGAGACCACTCTAAAAAAGCTTAATGTCACAGCTGCCTAACTATTTCATATGAAAATCAGTTCTAATCAGGATGGATGAACTGTGAAAACAATGTTTTCTTTTCAAAGTTGTCTTAATGTGTTACTATTATTTTTAAAAAGCGACGACATTACTTATAGCAGATAACTTAAAGACCTATCTGCTTCATCAGACTCCTTACCTGGTAACTAACATTCACTAAATATGCAAACTATAATAACAAAGGTACCTAAGAGTCCATTAAAGTTATAAATCTAATTTATATATCTTTTATAAGCAACTGCAGTGCAAGATGTCTCTAAAATAATATACTATACTAAAATTCAAACAGAAAGATGTGAGCTGCTAGGAAGGAGACATTCAAAAGTCGCCATTAGTAACCTTTAAACATTCCTAAATCTACCTACTTGTGTCTTTCTGATTTTGCAGACTCTAATGCCATGCTGTGGAGGAGCTGGTAGGATCTATCTTCCTGCTTCTACAAATAACTCAAGGGTGAGTCCTCCAGTGCCTGGAAGTCAGGCCACACAAGAGAGATCACGTATTAATACAACAGAATGATCTCCAACTATGCAAGGACAGCTAACAGTACTGAGACCACTTAAATGTTTTCTATTTTAATCTCCGGTGCTTTCAAGTTTATAATGCACTTACATGCAGTAGGCATTTGACTAGGGTGAGGTGAAGTTATTCAACAGCCACACTCTCATCCTAAATCCCCAAGATCTTTCCACCAGGCAGGCTTTTTTTTTTTTTTCCCCTTTTTTAGGCTATATGTAATGAATATAAATTAAAATAGCTAAGATGTGCAAGAAGTAAAAATAAAAAGCAAGACTCTTCCCTTGAACTCCCCAGAGGCAGCAATGGTGGCAGTCACATGCATATGTTGTTAGATATTCTCTTATGGTGCACAAATATATAGATAATGTAGTAGTGTTTTCCTGCCCTCGGCTTAAAATTAACTCAATTTTATTTTCAATTAAAAAAAAACTGTAGTGAAGTAAAGTACTCTAATTGGAATTCTTATAAAGTAAAACACATCCCTGTTACAATAAGCACTCAGATTGAAAACCAGAAAATTAGGTGGAGACCATTTTATTAAATAAAGATTTCTTTTCTATCTGCTCCCATTTTTATTAAACACACACACACACACACACTCTCACTCACTCATACTCCCTCTCTCTCTCAAGGATGTCTCATAACACAAGGGATGTCACACGGTATGAGGAATAGCTATCACTCTCAGTTAAAACATTCAAATACTACCGCCCTACATTTCCATAGCATTTTAGACTATTTATAAATTTGATCAGCTTCCTTTTAATGGTAATGTTTATATGTAACTACATGGCTATGGTCAAAATTTTAAAATCTTTAAGAAGCTGGATCTATACTACAATACAAATAGCAAGGGAGAAAGCTAATGGGAGGAGGTGGCTTATCTTCCAATTTAATTATTTACTACACCCCATAGGCTCCCATCCATACGTATTTAATGTGAAAAGCACATATTTGGATCGACCCTCCAGTATATACAACTCACGTTGCAATGCTAATGCCAACAATCATTTCATAGCCTGTGTTTAATTTGTTAACTCAAATGCTGTATTAGATCATACTCCATTTTAAACTTCCCTCTTCCTCCCTAACAAAAACTAAAGGTAGGGGAAGAGGAAGGGAGGGAGGGGGGCGCTGGTACTCTGTGCTCACAGCTATGAAATCAACACTGACCCGTACTTATAAATGCCCAGACACAGAGCAGTCTCATATGAAACATGCCCGTAAGGCCAACCACCACATAGGTACAGGTCATGGTCTTTTTTAGCAACATGGTTTCCTTTTTCACAGCTTGGAGTGGATGAACACTGTCTGCCTTTCAGCCTGAGTCTGTGAAGAACACCACCATGGAGCCTATACTGGACGCTTCTCGATCAATTATTATTCCAAAGTTCTTTATTAGGGGGAGAGAGGACCAGGCATGAGAGCGACTCTTCCTAAAAGGCAAACCAATCAACCTAGTTGGTAACTACAACTTTCCAAGGGAGGTGGCCTTTCCTCTATTTTCTCAACAGTTGGATTCAAAATGCCTATGTCACCTCAAACAATCTGAAGAAAGATGAGGATTTAGAGTCACAAAGGATTTAGAGTCACAGGCATTTCATTTAATATAAAAATTACAGTATGATGTTCTGAATTCCCTTTCAGCTTGGAAATATGAAAATGAAAAGGAACTTAAGTTGTTTTTGTTATCAATGGATCTAGTGCTTGAGTTGGCAAACTATGGCTTTCGGCCTAAATCTGCCCAGGTTTTGTATGGTCCACAATCTAAGACCGGTTTTAAGAATTTTTAAAGGTTTTAAAAAATTCAAAAGAAAAAGAAGAATATGTGACATGACAGAGACTGCATATGGCCTACAAAGTCTATTATCTGGCCCTTTACAGAAAAAGTTAAGCCAAGCTTTGATCTATTTTGAGGACCGAATGAAGGAACCGAGGTGCACAAATTATCTGGTTTACATGGACCGAGGGAGGATGCATTATGTGATCCAATGAGCCCCTCCGACTCCCAATAACCACGACCCAGCTGCTTCTCCCCATGGAGTGCATTTCATGATGCCATCCACGAAAACCCCACACAGCCCCCAAAGCAAATACTGACACTAAGTGGCTATAAGAATGCAAAGCTGTGCTTAGTATACTTCCCAGTAAATCTGTAATAATCTCGTACTCACCTTTTGGAGTTTCTTGGTTATCACCACTTGTGCCCACATTTTAGTGACCTGGTCATGGCTGTGTGTTAACCCCTAATCTAATGTTACAAGGACCTCGAATGAGGGGCATTATTAATCCACTGACAGGGGTCCAGGAATCTCTTCCACATACACCTTTGAAAATTTACTGCTTTTGGCTTTTATTATCATGAACAACTTGGTCCAGGCCTTTGTACAAGAATTTGGGCCTGAATATCAACTCAAAAATATTTACTAAACTATCATATGCAAAAGCAAGGCACAAGTTATAATGGAATATAAAAGCAGAAGATGTAAATTCTTCAAGGAATCTAAAATCTTTTTTTTTTGAAGGGAGGGGGAGATCAAACTCATACAGTTACAAAGATACAAGATAGTACAGGGGCTGGCCTGGTGGCGCAAGTGGTTAAGTGCGTGTACTCTGCTGCTGCGGCCCCGGGTTCGCCGGTTCGGATCCCGGGCGCGCACCGACGCACTGGTTGGCAAGCCATGCTGTGGCGGCGTCCCATATAAAGTGGAGGAAGATGGGCATGGATGTTAGCCCAGGGCCAGTCTTCCTCAGCAAAAAAAGAGGAGTATTGGCAGATGTCAGCACAGGGCTGATCTCCTCACAAAAAAAAAGACAGTACAAGTTCCAAACAAAAACTAGAATAATATACTTTACAAATTAGACTGTTTTTCACCTTGTAAATCATTCAATGAAACATTTATTGAGCCATTATAAGGTGCCTGGTTCTTCTTGAAGTAAAAAGAAGTTTCCTTGAAGACCTTCTAGTTTCTTCATTACAGAAACTTCCATATAGATATCTTCCTATTACTAAACTGCAGGATGACCCAACTTTCCCTCCCCAGGGTAAGGCTTCCTGGATGTGATCTCTCCAAGAGTTTCATATTAACTACATGGAAATTTTATTATACCATAATTTAACTATAGAACCTAAGTTCCCAGCACCTAGCACAGTCTCCGTCACATAAGAACTTTGTAAGAGTTTATTGACCAAGGCATGAATCCAATAGATAGTTTTATGGTGAAGCTCCTGAATCACTTGTTTTATTTTATACAAGGCAAATCATCTTTTTAGAACAGATTCAGTTCATAAGGTAGCTTTTGGCCCACATATAATTGCTAGTGGTGGTTACCTCTGAAAGGGGTATGAGGAGAAACTCATACATTGCTCTATAGTTTTCTACACTGTGAGTCTTTTTTTTTTTTTTTTAAAGATTTTATTTTATTTTCTTCCCCCCAAAGCCCCAGTAGATTGTTGTATGTCATAGCTGCACATCCTTCTAGTTGCTGTATGTGGGACGTGGCCTCAGCATGGCTGGAGAAGCGGTGCGTCCGTGTGCGCCCGGGATCCGAACCTGGGCCGCCAGCAGCGGAGCGCGTGCACTTAACCGCTAAGCCACAGGGCCGGCCCCTACTGTGAGTCTTTTATAACGAGAACTATATTCATAAATTACTGGCATTAAAACAAAAATACTAGAAGCCTTCCCAATTTGTAGGATAAAGAAGAATGAACTGGACTATCTTGAAGGCCGCTTCGAGCTCTAAGACATTAAGCTCTATGTAAGATGATGTCAGCTCCGTGCAAAATCAGGTGTGGTTAAGATCTTTGCTCCAGTACTTGCGGGGAGAGAAATGACAGGTACACATTAGAGCAGTGACAATGGGCTACTACTCAAGGTGGGTCAAGTCATCTATAAGTCTTATTTATCACTTTGTGGTAAAGCAAGTAGACAGAAAGAATCTACCATTTCTTCATGTCTCAATGGCATTCTAGTTTGAGCATAGAAAGCCTCAGGTCCCCCTGACATACAAGGTATGAAAATGACTGCTTTTGAGGTAGGAGCAGGGCCAATGAAAGAAGTGGTTGGTAAGGGTGGGAGAACAGTAGTCTGTAAGGGCTCTCAGGGTCCCACCATGTCACATATCAATATAAGGGTGGGTGTTCTAGAAAAAAAGAAAAGAAAAAAGTTCACTGCTCTCAGCTCTCAGCAGCCTGGAGTAGGAGAGTTTTTTTTTTTTTTTTTGAGGAAGATTGACCCTGCGCTATTGTCTGTTGCCAATCTTCCTCTTTTTCTTTTTTCACCCCAAAGCCCCAGTACATAGTTGTATATCACAGTTGCAGAGTTGTAGCTCTTCTACATGGGACGCCGCCTCAGCATGGCTTGATGAGCCGTGAGTAGGTCCACGCCCAGGACCCGAACCGGCTAACCCAGGGCCACTGAAGCGGAAGGCGCGAACTTAACCACTATGCCACCGGGCTGGCCCTAGGAGACCATTTTGTTTTCTTTGGAGAGGGAACACTATGTGTAGGGCAAGGGCAGTGATTTGGACATACAAAGATTATTAAGATACAGCCCCACAGGATAATTAAACATATCAATACAAAACCACGTGATAAGTATCTTTTCTAAAACTCAAAAGAAATGCAGAATTATGAAACACATCTGGCCCCAAAGGTTTCATGAAAGAGAATTACGGACCTGCATAACTGTCGTTTTATTATTTGAAGATCACTGACAGTTATGAATCTAAAACATATACTATTATTATGTAATAGTATATAAACTATTATTTTTTTATTTTTATTTTTTGGCAAGTAAGACCAGCCCTGAGCTAACATCTGTGTCCACCTTCCTCTGTTTTATGTGGGACAACTGCCACAGCGTGGCTTAATGGGCGGTGTGCAGGTCCGCACCTGGGATCTTAACCTGAGACCCCCAGGCCACCAAAGCGGAGTGCGCGAACTTAAGCACTACGCCACGGGGCTGGCCCCTAAACTACTGCTTTAAATGAAATAATTGTTTCATTAAACATCACCAGCAAGTATTATCAATCTAAAACATATACTATCATTGACTGTTATACTATCATTATATATACTATTATTAATATGAAAAATCAACATGCTTTGCTAAGTCCCTGGGAAGATCGAATAAAAAGAATGACATCCATCCCAGTGATCTCAATTTTAAAAACATTATTTGAACCAAGCAGGTGGGTCTGACCCTTGGGAGACCCGTAGAGCCCAACTTACGGATGTGGTTTCATTTCTATGTAATTCTTGGGAATGAAGCCGTCTTTCCCATTGAGTTCTGCCTTGTACCAGTTCTGATCACATTCTTCATTCAAAACCTGAAAAGAAATAAGACAAGGGAAAAAAACCAATCATTTCCTTTCACTCTTAAAAGGGTAGCCACTAAGACAATTATGTTGCCATTAAGGTTTTCTTTTTAAAAGGTGTTATCTGAAGTATTATCAGTTACATGGATGCAAGACTTGTAACTTCAAACAACCAGCATTATGTCAACTCTGATAGTTCAAATTAAAAAGAAAAAGAAACTGTCTCTGGAAATGAAAGTTCAAGCTCCCAAACATCTAGCATTAAACCCTCTGTAGGAAAGCAGAAGGGAGAATGACAAGGAAAAGTAATAAGTTAGTTTGGAAGAGGAGATTCTGGAAAGCAGCAAACACTGACATTGGAGAATGAAGGGAGCCCAACAAAGATGAAATAAGCCTGCTATCTGGGAGAGAGAAGTTTAACAGTAGAAGTGAGCAGCAACAGAAAGAGCTTTAAGACTTCTCTGGAGATCTGCAAGCCAATCTCCAGAATCACAGGGATGTAATCCTGGGACTCCCTAATTTCTTCTCTAGGTTCTCCATCCCAGGTATGGGTCACCCACCAAACAGGTCTGTCACACTGCTGCTTGCGTGCACATCCACATGCCCTCGTATGGGAAAAGTAATTTCATGAAAAAGCATGACAAGTCTTACTCACTTCACTCACCCTTAGGGCCACAATGTGTTCGAGTTAGAAAATGCTGGGAGCACACCCAATTTATGGGGAAGACCTAGAGACCATATAACTGAACCAGTGCCTTCTACAGAGTGAAAACAGACCTAGAAATGTGACATGACTACCCAAGGTTATAAGCTAATGAATCATACGAAGATTTTCAGATCCTAAACTAGTGCTCTCCCCAGTGCTGCTCCTTGTGAGTTACAACGATAGGCCAGGCCATGATCCTGTAATCTGTAGAGAATTATACAAAGCAGAACAGATGTAGGTGTAGTATAAAAGCCACCCTATGAATTCTAGATTTCTAACAAAAGGCAAACGGCAGAAGGCATTAAAAAAAAGTCAATAACTTAAAAGAGAAAATAGAAATGTGAGCCCAACTCCAAAATGGTGAACATGGAAAATGCTGATGGACTAGTAGAGTGGTAGTTAATCTACACTATACAACAAAGTTCTATAAGGAAGTTGGTATAATTCTTTACAAAATGATTTACTCAAGATGCTGAACAATGCTGTACTCATTGCCAACTGAGAACCTGGATTTCCTTAGATTGCATGATGTGTATGTACTGACATTTCAAAGTGAGATACAAATTTAGAAACCGTAGATAAGACCAACAGATAACTAACAAAGAGCCAAGCCATTAATGACACCTCTAAGCAAATTCACTTTTGAACAGAGGCTATGCCCTGAGGAGTTTTGCAATGCTGGTGCCTATCTATGATGTTGGCCAACCTCTGGCCCAAGGTGCCAGTCACTGAGTGTTAAGTGTGCAAGATAAGGCGGCAAATCCTGCAAGAGCTAAAAAATGTGAATAGAGAGCTCTGAAAAAATCAGCTACTGGTAAATCCCGTAGCCTCAGTGATGAAAACTCCTTCCATCAGTCTTTCCCTTAAAAAAAATGATTTTATTAAATATTGTGATGATACAAACTAATACATGTAAAATACATTCATAATTTTAAAATCTGCATTTCAAAAACACTGAACTGTAGCCAGCAAAGTTACTCTGTTGCTAGACAATTATAAAGCACACACAGAGGACAAAGGTTTGGGAGGGAGAGTGCTCTTAAGGTGCTCTCTGCCACGAAGACACTGGCATCCCTGAGCAGTAAGGCTAATCCACCAGTCTCATATGAGATGCTGTGACCTCAGGATGGAGCTGGTCACGGCACAGACGACACAACAGCATGAGAGCAAAGGAGCTATTTTAAAAGTTGCTTAAGGCCAGGATTCTGTTATCCACCAAAAAGAAGGGCCTGAAGAAAAATGTGGCCTAGCAATTATCTTATAAAGCATCCAATAATCATAATAATAATAAATCTGTAGGCTTATGAACAAGAGTCTTTCAAAATGTCTTTAAAATTTCTGAAATGGCAAGTTGAACCTACTCTACAGATTTCTTGGGAGACAAACAAGAGTCAGGCCGACAAAGAGGTGACTGCAGCCCATCTAGGCATCAAAACAGAATAAGGTAAACACTTGGAAAAGGCCACTTATAATTCGTGACAAATAACTTTGCAGAAAAGGGTAACTGTGTTACATACCAAGAGTTTATATAGCTGCACATTCTTCTTATCACCTTTACTAAGATAGAGGCCACCCCCCCTAAAAATGCACCCCCTAATAAAAGAAACTCCAGGGCAACTCCCAGATTTGGCACCAGTTTAGAACTATGGTTTTCTGCAGAACGAAATTACTACTTGGTGTTTAGTATGCTTTTCTCCCCAACAAGGCAGGCAAATAAAGAATTAATGTTAGTTTATTTATTTACTTATTTATTTATTTTGTAAAGACAACTAGCCCTGAGCTAACATCTGATGCCAATCCTCCTCTTTTTGCTGAGTAAGATTGGCTCTGGGCTAACATCCGTGCCCATCTTCCTCTACTTTATATGGGACGCCGCCACAGCATGGCTTAACAAGCAGTGGGTCGGTGTGCTCCCAGGATCTAAACCTGTGTACCCCAGGCCACCGAAGCGGAGCACACGCACTTAACCACTATGCCACCAGGCCAGCCCCCTTAGTTTAGTTTAAATGTAATGTTTGTATACATGAATGATTAAAATTTTGGTTCTCTGGAACATTCTAGTATCCAGAATATCACTTTACCAGAAAGCCCCAAGTGTTATGGTGCATGCCTCTAAACCTCTTTACTCTAGAACTTAAGGAAAGATTAGCTCTGCTGGAGGCAAAGCACAGGAGAAAGAGTGTACCTGCTAATGCTGAGCCACCCTGGGAGTCAGGGACCAGCTCTTTCCACCCACCTGCTCCACTGGTACATCAGCTTTCATATGCAAGCCCTAAAACTAAGATGGCATAATTTAAAAGATATTTAACACTTTATTCAAATGTTTAAAACAGCAAAAGGTACAAATTAACATAAGTGAGTCTAAAGTGGAGCAGAGAAAGGGACCAGAACCATATGTGGATGAGTTTGCACCTACAAAGACTGTATTTAATTTGCTCGAGTTTTAGATGAAAGCTCACGTCTTTCACAAGTAATTTTTAAAAGCCTGATCAGAGTCCTGAGAACAAGGAAGCTGCTCCTATCACCATTTCCCCACAACAGAAGGCAACTTATCACTGGCTTACTCATTACCTCTTAACAAATAGATTGTTGAGTTCAACAACCAAATTTTCCCTCAGTTTTGAAAATTCTAAGGAATGCTTTACTATTACCCCACAGCTGCATGTTCTATTCCAACTCCCATATTCCCTCGAGTTATGACTTTGTAGCCACACAAAACACTCTGGTTTAAGGGAAGCACATTGATCAAGAGATCAGATTACGAAAGGAGGAAGAGACAAGTTTCAGTGAAGTTTTTTGTTTTTTTGCAAAAAGACTGAAAATAATGTTAGAGCCCAAATCAGGAAGAAACCTAAAAGACAAGGAATGATGTGAGGTTTATGCAGGAGAATTAAAACTATTGCAGTCAGTGGAAGGAGACACACGGGGGGCTTTCAAGGTTTTGCTGTTACATTTCTTGACCTGAGTGCTGGTTACTTGGGCACGTTCAGTTTCTGAAAATTCACTGAACTATGTACTTATGATATATGATCTTTTCTATATGTATATCATACTTCAACTAAAAGTTAGAAATATTTCTGTCAGGGCCGGCCCTGTGGCTTGGTGGTTAAGTGCGCGCGCTGCAATGCTGGTGGCCCGGGTTCGGATCCCGGGTGCGCATGGAGGCACCACTTCTCCGTCCATCCTGAGGCCGGGTCCCACATACAGCAACTGGAAGGATGTGCAGCTATGACATACAACTATCTACTGGGGCTTTGGGGGGAAAAAATAAAATAAATAAAATCTTAAAAAAAAGAAGAAATATTTCTGTCAAGAGAACATAGTAATATCATGGTCCAATTTGCACATAAGAAAAACACCAGGGACTCATACACCTACGGTACAAACTTTTCACACTCCAAAAATACATAGGGATGCAGAAAATAACACAGGGAGACTTCAGAAACCCCCATGATGATAGCTACTCTATGAAAAAGTAAATTCCCACAAATAAAACTTTCTTCACATGGACAACTCAGAGCATTTCAAGTGTTCTACTTTTCTACTTTTGCTCACCCCCAATATGAGAACATCCTAAAGGCAAGGCAAATTTCCATTAATCATACCAATTTGGGGCCGGCCCCGTGGCTTAGTGGTTAAGTGCATGCGCTCCGCTACCGGCGGCCTGGGTTCGGATCCCGGGCGCGCACCGATGCACCGCTTCTCCGGCCATGCTGAGGCCACGTCCCACGTACAGCAACTAGAAGGATGTGCAACTATGACATACAACTATCTACTGGGGCTTTGGGGAAAAAATAAAAAAATAAAAATATAACAATACCAATTTGAACTTTCCAAATCGTTAAAAAAGAAAAAGAAAAAAAGCCAGAGGTCAAAGATTTAGGTCTCAGACCCCTCAGGGCGCACCTGGTCTGGTGGCAAGAGCACAGGCTTCAAGAGGCTGAACCCATGGGTTCAAATTCCAATTTTACCAACTCTAAACTGTGTAACCTTGGGCAAAAGACCATTCTCTAAATTTTGGTTTCCCCATCTATAAAGTGGTGATAATACCTACCACCCAGGGTTACTGAGGGGATTAAATGAGAAAATGTAGTAAGCAGTGCAGCAATCAGGATGGAGCTCCATTCCAGCTGCCCTCGTGGACACATTTACTTCACAGTAGTTTGCCTTACACATTAGCAGTATTAAATCTAACAGAACATGGCAATCCCGGGGGACTGAGTTTTACCTTCACTAAATTATGTATCTTTAATGTAATGCTGCCCACGGCACCAACAGTACCCATTAACAGAGGATTGGGACTCTT